ATTCCTTAGTTTCCAGCATTAGAAAAAAGTATCGTATCGATCGCACACATGTTCATCATAACCAGCACATTAAGTACGCTTTACTCTTGATTGAAAGTGCGACCCGGGCTTTTGTTTGCATCACGCATTCGCGGTCCGTCACGGGTTTTCAAATGATCGACACATGACAATATTGCCAAAATCTAATTAGTCCGTCAGACTTGATGTATTCATGAATATCACTGACTCAATCTCATTCTATTTTGATTTTTGGAAAGCCATTATTTCATTCTAAGGGTTAAACCACACATCTTCGACAAAGCCCGAATTTTTTTAATGAATAAAGTAAGCCATGCGATAGTTAATTAAATAGAGAATGATACCAACTTGCTTACGCCGTTTGCTATGATTTGAAAACTTTGTAGCCAAAAAATAATTCGAAAGATAACTTTAATACAACGTCTGTGTTAAACCCTGCAAACGATAGGCAAGAAATAATTTTAAGAATGCGAACAGTTTGAAATATAATTCGGGTGATCAACCGGCACGAGGGTGTTAAAGCGACGAATGCCAAAATTTTACCGAAACTATATTTAAATTTCTTGTCTTCATCTAAACAGCAATGAATTATAAACTGGAGCTGGTATCAAAAAACGATTAGTGAAAAAGTGTTTGAATTTTCCTAAGCCTTAGCGTAAAAAAAAAACCCAGATAAGACTCAACTTACCACTTCTTCTTTCTTGGATCCTTTGAAGTTCGCTTTTTCTTTCAGTAATGACCTCTTTTCAGTCTGTTTTCTAGAGCTCTATGTATTTCCTTCTCAAGTCGCTCTTCGCTGGCTAGATATTCTCTTTTTTACTTAAGCCTTTTTCTTTTCCTCTTTCGCGTTCCTCACACCGTATTGTGCCTTATTTTAGCGTCCTTTCTAACTCTCTCTCGTGTTTCAATTTCTCGACTCGCTCTTCGCATTTCTCTTCTTGCTCTTTTTGGTCGCTCTCTCTCTCTCTCGTTCCAGCCTGCTTTCACTCAAAACCCTTTCTCCACGAACTTAAATTATAATAATTTCCCCCAGTTGACAAAGCTTTAGCTCTGCCGGAATTGTTTGTTTTTCGAGTTGATTAGAAATTGCAAAATACTTAGAATAGCTTTTCAACTATGACCTCACCAGTTTGATTTCCCGCTCAAAACGCGGGTTGCAAATTATCTGCTTGCGCGCCTTCACATCTTCTAGCCCTCGTGAAGCCCTCGTGAAATGCCTAACCGTGTGCCCGCGATACGCTGCACTTGAGTTCGGCACTCGAGTATGTGAACTTCAATTACTATTTCTTATAAGTATGTTGCTACGATCGCACTGCGAGCTCCGCTTATGATGGAGATGTAACTCAAAGGCGAAGAAACCAAACAAAAACCGTTTGAATGGCCTTTAAAATTGGGTCCCTTATGAGCAAAATAAAATGAATAAATTTGGGCGAAAGATATTATAACATTTGTAACATTTCTTATCTACAATGGAGTCATAGAGAAATGATGAGTTTCCATTCTTTCCAATAGTCTCAAATAAACGGGTATTTTGTTCAAAGATGAAGATGTCCGATTTTGAATTATGAAATATTTTAAATTATAAAATTCTTTTCTGTATTGTCATGAAAATAACTTTTAAATCTGATTGTTTATTTCATATACTTTATCTACTTTTACTTAAAGGTTACTTTGGTAATTATGTACATGAAAAAATTACGCGCTTTTGATTAGCTGAAAACATTCTCATATAACAGGGTGATTTAGTGTTGTCAACTGAGTTGAAAACGTAAATTGGCCACCTTAAATAGTTTGAAGGCTGACGTTTCGAGCGTTAGCCCTTTGTCAGAGTGATTGGAGGAATTTACGTTTTCAACTCAATTGATAACACGAAATTATCCTGTTATGCTCCCCCACCGACGCAGTACCACAGTTTCTTTAGAAAATTATCCCCTTTATTCCTTTTCATGTAGCACGAGTTAAAAGTTGTAATAGGAGTTCAAATTACCAATAGCGCGCGGGCTTTCGATATTTCGTCTGTCTTGACTTTCTGTAATATTTTTTTCGTGTACGTTATTAACAAGTTATAACATGATTTCTCTTGCAGTTTGGTTTAATAATGTCTTGTACATTTTTCAAAGACTACAAATTGCTCTTGTTCTACGGGTTCGTGTATTTTTTGTTATCTTTGAAAAATTCACTCGTCCTTATTAACACCAAATTGCACTCGAAATCATGTTATTACCTACACTTCTAGCTCGTTACACACGGCCCCACGAGCATGTAATGATTTCGTTTACATAATCATCGCGTTTAAATTAAGAAATTTTCCCTATTTAATAACCTAGGTACACGGCTTGTAACGTACAGGTGTAAGCCTCAAGATGCAACTCTCCTTCGTATCACTGTCCTTTATGCTTAGGGGGGCTCAAGTTCAGTTGGCTGGATCATTCTCATCAAAATCATAATGATAAACTCCTAATATTATGAAACAACATTCACAATGATTACAACTAAATCTGTTTATTTTTTTGGGTGCTGCATCATTACCGTGTAAGTCCTACCAACGCAAACGTAACATCTTTACACGTGTGGTTTAGGATGTTAAAGAAGGCACTGTTGATTAAATCAAACTTCATCCTGTTTTTTACAAAAAATATAAAATGCGATTTTTTTTCCTTTTTTTTTTTTTTGCTTAGAGGATATATACAGTTATCTATCCTTTATTCAAAAGATTTTCCTTTCAGTGCAGTGAAAGCTAATTACTCATGTCGGGTGGCTATCTGGCCTCTCTTTCAAAACGAGGCCAGATGGGAGCTCGATTACCTAAAAGAAGGAGATACATTTACATGATAATAGACTAGAAAGTACAATGCATTAATATTTGAAAAGTTTTGTGGCCATGGAGGCTAGAATAAAGCAACAGCAATGAGATGAATTACTCATTCGTGTAAGCCAAACTTGCTTTTGTGAGGTAATGCATTGTTAAATTGAGTCACCGTTTAGTACCTTTTCCTTTTCCTTTTCCTATTTTTTTTAAGAGAGCGATATTTCTCTCTTTGCTTTTGTACGCTTATTATTTGCACTTAAGGGTGACACTTTTCAAGTACAATTTCCGTTTAATAAAACACTTCCGAGTCATAAGAAAATCCACCAAAAATCCAAATGATAATTAATGTTAACCCGATACACAAGGGACAAAGGCGACTGGGTGCTGAAGGCCCGAAATTTTCTCCACTTAAAATTCATAGCCTTTTTGTTGAACTTTCGGCGCCACAGGCTCTTTCAATAGACGCTCTGATAACACCTATAGAAATACAAATTATCAAACCAATCCAGCAGAGTTTCTCACCGAACGTTTCGAAAATTTATTTTGCGGCTTAATTCTGATAAGTGAAATGCACTTCGAAGTTACTGTCTACTTTTTACAAAACAGCTGTGTCATGCACGAAATTTCGTATTTATCTTGAGTCAAAAATTATATTAGTTTTAGCTTAATATCTTTCTCATGACTGTAAACAATGTATTGACAAAAGGAAGTTACTTTAAGTAACGAATTAATCTTTGTAAAATGCATGCACAAACAAATCAAATCATTACCGCCTAAGTCAGGGAAGTCCATTGTGATAAGCTGATATTATTAGAAATTGAAGGTAACTTTTAGTTGGCTTGCAACCTTTAAGTCGGATTAAGAGACTAACTTTTGAGGAGCAAAAAAACGTGAGCTTTCTGTCCTTCAAGTTTCACTATGGTCAACTTCTCACTTGACAATTTTTTCGACGATGCAAACTTAAATGGACCGGTACATAACATTACTTCTGAAGAAGGTTGCTTCGATCGCAATAGCACGGCCATACGAGTGACAAGAGTCGCTGTTTACTGTGTTATTATTTTGGTATCAGCCCTGGGTAACACTATGACAATTATGGTAGTGCGGCGTAACAGAACGATGCGAAAATCTTTTCACTGTTTCATTGTGAACCTGGCAGCTACAGATTTGATTATCACTCTGGTGTACATGCCACGGCTCATTGTTATGTGGTTACGAGGAAGTGAATGGTTGGTGGAAGACACGTTTGGCTCAGTGCTATGTAAACTCGTTCCATATTTACACGGCGTCGGCATTTTAGTTTCGATTCTTACGCTGATGACATTGGCCATAGATAGATTTTTTGCTATTGTCTTCCCTTTGAAACAGGAACTATTCACTGTCAAATCTTCGAAGTTTGTTATCGCGTTCGTTTGGTTCGTTGCTTTGGCCGTTCGTTTTCCTTACTTTTATTCACTTAGGATAGAGTTTCACGAAGAAAGAGGCGAATTTACATGTGGTGCAAATCTTACAAGAACATTTGAACGCGTAAACGCAAGAGAAATTTATTACACTTTCCTTTTAATTGCCTTCTACGCTCTCCCATTCACTGTCATCCTCGCCTCTTATTCTGTGATAGTGGTAACCTTGAGGCGCTCAAAAGTGCCTGGCGACAAAGAAATAGCCAAGCTTGTAAAGAAAAGTCGAGACAAAGCAAGCAGAAAGGTAATACACATGCTAGTGACGGTCACCGCCGCTTTTTTGTTTTGTTGGTTGACATACTTTGTTGCGCAAATTGTGTTTAATCCAGTGCCATGTTATTTAAGATTTTGGCGCATTTTTCTGGCACACAGCAATAGCGCTTTCAATCCTTGTTTGTACGCAGTTTTCAACGAAAAGTTTCGAAAAGGTTATAAACGTTTGCTGTTCTGTGGTTTTCGTTAGAAAATTTGACAATCATCCACTACTAGAGAGCGAGGGCATGAACTCTTAGCATGAACTCTTGGCATGAAATAACCAGAAAGGGGACATCTGCGAAATACCTTTTGCAACTTTTCTTGACTGCAGTTATTTTACAAGTTTTGTAAACCTGGAGAGTTCGTAAAAATGGATCTCGTTCAGAAATGTATTGGAAAGGTTCTTACACTAAAGAGAGGCAACAAACGTGGTTTGCAAAAAATTTATTTGAATGTGTTGTTAATTAATTTGGTTGTTCATCCCACCTGTACTCTATTTAAGCCAAGTTTAGTGTGTATAAAAAAATTGTTACAGAGAAACCGGTATTTGCGTATGTGTGAGTGGTGAAGGATGATTGAAAATTATTTTTTTCTATAACTATGAGACCCTACATCACGGCGCCGGTTTGTTTCACTGCAGGGTTGATGTGGAAACACATCGAAGAGACGATAAGCTCATAAGATAAGCTAAATAAGTAGATTCTTTTCTAGAAATAAGCATTTCTATAATACATGTACATGTACATCTAAGGAGTGAAAGAATAATTTAAATTCAAAAAACAAAAAAAAAATGAACCTGTTTTCTGGCGTGCGACACATGATGGAGTAACACCATTGAGGAGATACCTCCCGTGAATAGAGTGATCTAGAAATATTTAATTTTGGTTTTGCAATTATCTTTTCAAACTGAGCAATAATTAAGTAATAAGAGGAATAGATTTTTTCCCAGAAAAAACCAAGCAATTCTTACTAATGTCAAACAATATTAGGGCTGGGAAGGTTACAGTCGAATCGCTTGATGGAGGTGCAGAAATCATTAATGGCTGGAAAGCGATGTAGGTAGTCTGAAGAAAATGACGTTAAAAAATTTGTAATTGGTTCGTGGAATTTTTAATTTTGGTAACATATTTGAAATAAAGGGTTGCCATTGGTGCTGTCATATCAAATTGGCGTTACTTGGTGCAATCAGACTTGGTTAAAAAAAACAAAAACAAAACAAAAGCTGTTGTATGCATCAAATATAACCAATTCGACCGAAAGTAATGTTATGTTTGCAAAATAAAGCAATAATTTTCTTTCTGAGGAAATGAAAACACATGTCATTTTTTTTTGTTTTGTATTCCTGGCGCCTTTACTCTGTTATTGATACAGATAATGAAACAAAGAAATTACTGGAGAGTAAAAACAACATATATCAATTTTACTTCGGCGGCCCTTAAAGACATCGAAGAAAAACCAAAGATCCCTCAAATATAAATTTCTTGTTTGCATAAGTGAAAAGTGCTCGATTTTTTGTTTCCTAGAAGTCAAAGTGACGTTCACTTTTACCAAATTTCTGTCCAATATTCAGTTGAAGTCAAAACTATGATAATTTTATGTGTAATACAGTAACACATTATTGAATCCGACATTGATTTTGTGAAGGAAGAATGCCCCGTAGCTAGGACATCTGGCATAACTTTTATAGCCAAATAATTCTCCTGTCTAAAGTTATTTAGACAGGAGACTTGGACACCCCTAAAAAATGCGTGAATGTAGGCAACCCAGGGTATCCTTTGGGTTGCCAATATTCCAAGTCTGTATACGCTAAAATTGTTTTCAAATTGATAAACAAGTGTCTAAGCTATGATAAAATCAATAATACTTTATTACAATCGAACGCAGTAAATTCCTTTTTTTATCGTGCTGCCGTGCTTCGTCGGCGTTTGATGACAGAACAATTCATAGAACAACAAAGAAAAGGGATTATAGATATAATAATATATAATACATATCGAATTTTGTTTACAAAATAACTCCCATTATAGATAGATAACTAAAGACAAATCGTTAAACCCTGGTCTGCCCAAGATCTTGTGAGTAATTATTCCTACTGTCTGACATACAATTCTTTTGATGTTAGTTTGGAGAATTTGGTTTTGGATCAATAAACTGATCCACTATTAGCTAATATAATTGACATTTTTCTTAATTCTCATCACCTATCTGCTTGATATTGTATTGATATTGTAAGGAGAAATTCTGTCTTGGTCACTCATGGGAATTTAGAGGCTAACAACGAAATCACTTCAACTTTGATGCTGAACCATTCCTGCACTCTGGCAGTTTTTAACGCATTTGATTCCCCGCTGTAGAGTGGTCAATGTCCTGTAACATTTCTTCCATAATTATTGTGTTGTCAGTATTTTCAATGGAGTAAGTACCCTCGTTAGAGCCATTATTATCTGAACCCACGGATTTGCCAGTGTTGTACCAGCGTCTTCTGAGATGGCAAGTGACCAGCAATATAATCACAGCAACAATGAATAATATTCCTGCCAGTATTAAGGCAATTATTGTCGGTAGGTTAAAGAATTGTCCACCTGAAGTAAATACAGTTAAGAATTTGTAAGTTATTATGAATTATTTTTCCTCACCTTTAAAAGAATTTGAATACTTCAAGGTGCCTAAAATGGTTGTGACAGATTGTAGATGGTCTTTCAAAGGTGACTGAAAGGTAACTCTGCCATTTTGAGTGTGTGAGTTTCACTGTAATATTATTTACTCAATTAAAAACCTGACTGGTGACGCTAATGGTTGTCTATTCCCTGATAGATGATGAGGAAAGTAATCAATCTAATCATGAGTCTCTCTCATCATCAAGTTTTTAGCGATTGATAGATTTGTTTCAAAACAATTAGAAGGCCCCTATCCAGCTTTTTGACTGGCTGAAGGCATTTTTAGAGACCTGGAAACGTGCTAACCTAGTGCTTTAACGTTACGAGGTTAATTCTTGCTTTTCCTTTGTTATTTAATTACTCGTGAGTACGTCGTAAAAAAATTCCAATTTTTGTTTCAACCTTTGTAAGAGTTATATCGCTGAGTCAAGCGAGCGAAAAAAGATTGCAGATTTGGGCCTACGGGTCATAGGCTAGCTATGCACCTCATTAGATTATTCTCTTTGGATCTCTTTTCCCAAAGTTATAATCTAATGGTAAATATCTTGAATATCTTACCCTGAGAAACTTCTGTTGAAGCACTTGTCTCGATCAACACTGAAGACAACGCAGTACGGTATTTCCAGACATACAAAACAAACTTATACAGTGTGGATGGTTCCAGCTCCGACACAGTCACGTGGTTGTCCTTGAGCCCTTCTTTACCCGGCCAATACCGTATTTTTTCCCCACAGGATTCTGTACATTGGTGATTAACACTGTCTCCGCCTTGATCACATTTAAAGCAGGATATTTCATAGCGATCATAGCTTGAAAACTCGTGAGGATTATCCACGGAATTCCATGTTAGAACAGCTGTAGTGTCATCAACATAGGTCTTATCCAAAAGCATTTTAGCTGTAATAAAAAGAGACATACTTTTATTGAGTATATTTCATTGGCAATGCCTACATTGTGTTGCAATTTCCACACGGGCTAAGCAGTATCAGAAAATTAACGAATGAGTGCAGCCGAGAGTACCTCTCCTTATACGTGAATAGAATTAAGGAAATAATTTTCCGCACTATTGTCAAGTATTTTATTTAAAGCAGAAATTTGATAACCATGCACTCTCAACAGGCTATTAGATCAAAATAAGTGAACTAGACTCCCTAGAGAATGCTACAGGGCAAACCTGACCAAGGATTTCAAGTGAGATTTAACAATAATGTGACGTAAATCAGATTTTGAATCTATTGGGAAACAAAGAAAGGACTGCATAGCAACTTGACTTTCTTGTTCAAATTAATTTAAGTGTTTATATATAGACTCTGTCCATAATGGAAATCTGCCTTAGCTCACCACTAAACTTTATGCAGTTTTTTTATAAAAGAATACAGCATAGTTACCTGAAATCCTTGTTCCAAACTGAATCTCAGCATTTCTACTCGGACTAGGCCCATACAAGTAACTCACTCCGTTTTCAGCAGTAACCCTAAGCATGTATGATGTGTTGGGTTGTAATCCTGTCAGTGTAACGTGCGTAAAATGATTATTAAACCTCACCGGCCAAAATTCTAGTTTCCCACTGCAGAGTTGCTTGTTTCTGCAGCGTGGACCTGGATCACATTGAAAGCAGTTGATGTCGTAGACGACGTCTTCTCTCCCTCCGTTGTCTAAAGGCGGCAGCCAAGCAACAACGATTACGGATTGGTCTTGAAATATTATTGATAAATTTCTTGCAGCTGATGGCGGTGCTGAAGCAAATGAAAGAAAACGTGGAAGATTGGTTTTTTTTTAAAGAATCAAATGGAAACTTCGGACTATGTACAATATCCGACAATATTCTTGGCACGTTCCACTTCTTTTGAAATTCTTACTTTAACTTTCATATATATCCTTCTTCCCTAATTCAATGTAGTCTGGTGTTAACATAATGACGACCAATTTCATACAACATTGTCTTCGGGGAAAGGGGGCCTTTCGCGCAACTTATTAGTGATGAATTACAAGATTTCTGTTGTTATTTTGAGTGGAGGGTTGCCAATCATCAAGCAAACGGAGGCGTTTTTAGTTATACTTATTTACTTTTCTATTTGAGGTGTAAAGCAAATCGATCTCATATTTCCGTGGGTCTGTGACTGAAACTCTTTTTGTCACCAACACAATGTCATTTGCAAAGCATAACTGAACAGATGCCAGGCATTATAGTGCCTACTAGCAACATATCGTTTGCATTACCTGTACATTTTCCTTCTTTTTTGTCTTTTGGGCCCCGATAAAATCCTGCATTACATTCACATTGCTGTCTAGAGTTGTTGGAATTGGTATTCACCGGGCAGCTGCTGCACTCTGAATTGCTTAGGCTGGGTTTGAATTTTCCACTAGGACATTCTGTGAGTAAAATTTTGATTGAAAATAATCAAATCAATTTGTTACAACCTAACTATGTATTCAAAGAAATATTGCGTGCTTTTTCTTCTAATTTCTCTCTATCAGTCTGCATGTTTCCTTGTCTATCTCTTTGTCTGTTTGTCTGAATTGTCTCCTGTTTGTTCGCTGACGGTTTTCTAGTTGGTTGGTTGTATAAATGGGGCACCAGTAGTCATTCAGTCCGTCTTGCAGTCTCCAAGCCGGTCTGTCTATCTTTCTTGCTGTCCTTGCGCTTGTCGATCGATGTCTGCCTATCAGCCTGTCTGGTTACCCAAAAGTCCATTTTGTCTGTTTTTCGGTAACTGTGTTTGATTTAAACGTTTAATCGTTTGCCTCGGACGTAGAGTCAAGATACTAACTGCTTTAATCAACATCGAGAGACAAACGGCTAAACATTCATTTATCTGTATAGCCATGATGAACTACAACATATTCTAGATTTAATTAATACCTCCAATTGTGAGTCTACATTATAATAGGGATCAAGTTATGTACCTTGGCATCCCTGAGAAGTGATTTGATAACCAGGTTTACACAGACAAGTAGCGGCACTTGCTGGCCTATTCCAGGTTCCATTGCTTTGACACTGCATGTGTAGTGTGTTCGCGTTATGCGGACTCTCTGAGTTTACTGCACAGTTACCATTTACCTTGACGGCATGTCCATTTGGAGGAGAAGGGGTTCTATTATAACTTGCTCCACCAATGATTTTCCCAGGACAAAAGTTGGAAACAACTTGAACTTTCCCGAGTGCGATACACCCTCCTATGTCCCGAAATCCTAAATAAAGTCCTTTGCTTTGAACAGTGAGTCCAACTGCTGCTTTGTTTGTCATTCTCGCCTGAGCAGAATTCCACACATGAATAGGAGCGATCGTTGCAGCGAACGTAAAATGTCCAGCCAGAATCGTTGATTTCTGCACTCCAGATATTAACCTTTGGTCTGTTTGGTAGACATATAACATGAATGATTCCTTGCAGAAAGGAAGTGACTGACGGTCACATTGTCTCGCAGTGAATTCTAGTTGAACAGTTACTGATACTGCGCCTTGCAGGTCAATGAAATTTGAAATTAGCCAACTGTTGGTGCTTTTCGTTGCAGTTTCTGGAAGATCACAGACGAGGTACTCTCCTGTTTGTGAACTGCGGCCCCACTAAAAAGAAATGACAGAAAAAAATGACTTAAAACCGTTTATTCCACCATAATGACCAGATTCTTGCAGCTTCAAGTGGCCACCTCATTGCCGCCAAAGCTTATTCCATTCCCATTGGCTTGAAGCGTCCAGGAAAATTGCTGTGTGCTCTTGGACAGAAAGATAAACTATCTCATCCAACCTTCATCAGGTTTCCCTCTTAGTTCCTAGCTGCCCATTTATGCATACTCCTGTGACGGAATGAGGTACTGTGACGCTGTGGTTTCTTATCCAAGATCACAACAAAATGAATGACACCGGTTAAATCTGGAACTTGAAACCACAAATATTGAATCCCACATTACTAAGCCACTACATTTAGATCACTTTGAAAGAAGCTTCTTACCCCGCTACCAGTCGCCAGTTCATATGTGGTGAGCCAATCCCATGATTGGTCGTATCGAGAATGTGAATCTAGAATAACTAAAAGACAAATAAGAGAAAGAGGCGTTTCAATCCAGACACAGGAAATAACTTCAAGTTAGCATTTTGACATCGGAAACTGACACCCTCTCCTTCTGAGGAAACATTCAACTTCATGAGGTCCGTTTTGGGAGAACTATAGCAGAAAAAGCACTTAAAAGATACCATTGGTTACTTAAATATAATTGCATTGACTCACCCGTCTCGGAGGAAACAAGACGAACGACCAAGATTGCTTGAATCAACAAAAGTAGAGGTATCGTCTTATGGCGAAGAAACATTGATCTATCAATCTCCATGTCTTTTAACGGTGCCTCAGATGTGATACGCGAATATGTACAGTGTAATGATATCCTTGATATTCCTTATGAAACAAAACTCCAGATTAGCGAACTTTAGGCAATTAAAGCCAACCGAAAGCTGCATTCAAAACACACGGTTCGCTTTAATCGCTGTATGAAAACCAGTCGCGCTGAATTCGAGATGATAAGTTCTCTAATTGCAAAGCCCACTAATCAATCTGTGACCCTAGACACATCACGTACCCACGTACCCGTCCATGCATGTAAAGTCCGAAAAATGTCACGCATGTACAACTCCCTTGTCACAACTTGCAGATACTTTGCGCTTGCTTCACAATTAGCATGTAGGACAGGCGTAAGTTTTTTGTGTTTTTCAGTCAAACGGAGGCAAGAGCGAGGCGAGCGCCGAGTGCGAGTCACGTGTGAGGGAAGGAGCACCTGAATTAAAAAAAATATTTCGCGCTCTTCCCTCGCGCGTGATTAGCGTTTCGCGCTCGCCTTGCGCTTGTCTCGCTGGCTACTAAACACTTTGCTTAACGGTCGAGAATAGATATCGTATTTTCTATGTGGATATAGGTAAGCTTATTTTTCCTACTTGTTAAAACTCCCTGACGAAGTCTCCCATTGTCAGACGAAACGTGCGGGAGAATAAACTAGTTTTTACAATTTCAATTCGTACAGTGCTGCTCATTGGGACATTGCAGTTATCATTGAAAAAAGGAAAATGGAAAAACTTGACCGGATCACCCTTTGTGTCTCTTACCCAGGAGCTGGGGTATCGGGAATCGTTTTTCCTTTTTTTTTTTTTTTTTTTTTTCAAATACCATAAGCGCATCTCTTTGTCGTAACCATTCTTTAAGTACACTTAGGAACCGAAATCGTGCACTTGTGTTCGAATGTCCAAACTTTCACAATTTCAAATCATTATGAGTCACGTCAGACTACAAGTGAAATCTAACGCCGAAGAGGTGAATTAATCAATCATCACTCACGCTACTCAATCTCGTAACATAAAACAATTAGGTGGCGATGTCTGTAAGAGCAGGCGTTTCGCATCGGAAAAAAAGGTTTTCCCGTTAAACTAGTAAGTAAATAAAACCATAAAACCACATTGATTTCTGGGAATACGTCAAAGAAAAATTTGAGAGCTCTTAATAAGGCCTTTTTTTGACCTCTTGCGACTTCGAAAATTTCAAAAGTTGTCAAGCTTGCTGCACGTAACACACTTCATGCAGGAAATCGTTTGTATTCCTAAATGGTGTGATATATAAGGGGTTTGGAAAGCATATTAATTTTGATACGTGTGTATTGAGAGGTTCGCCATAATTTATCTAAAAACGCTTGTTAGACAGCTTTCTGAAATGAATCATAAGTACTCTTTCTTTCTTGGGTGATGTTTCTCAAGTCCCGACCAGACCATCAAAAACTCCAGTCGATTTATTCTAGTAAGATGTTCGATATTAATTTCCTTCCCTCCTTTTCTGACTGCATGTGCCTACCTGAATAGCTGTAGAGTATTGCTGTAAAAAAGCAATACGGTGTAAAATGAAGGGATTGTGATAAACAGCTCTTATCGATGCCAAAATTGCGTCAAAAGGAGGATTCGGTTAGAACAGAGTCTGTACGCTAGTCAATTGATAGGCTGGAGACAGAGCAGTAAATTACTAGAATAGGTACATGTAATAAATGTGCTTCAGATGTGTTATTACACAAAACTTCGTCGCTTTGTACGCTCTGCGTACCTAGCACAATGAATATACCTATGATATTCGAGCCTTCTCCACGTTAAACTGTTTTTTCTTCCTTTTCCTTTTCTTTCTCAATTTTTTCCTTTCAATTTACATTCTTCTACAAAGGATATGTTGGATATGTTCAGAGTAAAGCTCACATGTGAGAACTTTTGACGATATAGCTTTTACTCTCAAATCGATGACAAGTCGAACTGCAGAGGTTGGCCCCGAAAAAAAAAACATCGATAAACAAACAAAAAAAAATGATTAATCCGAAGAAACTCGATCAGATTCGTTCGAAGATGGCCAGATTCATAGCTGAACCAGAGACGAGTCACCATAGCGTAACGCCTACGGCCTTCCTGGAAGGCACAGAAGACACAAAAATTAAGAGAACTATCAACGCCTGAGCGATCAAACCTCATCTTAAAACCACACACTGGGTACAATTTTCAAGCTCACTTTCATGAGTGAAAAAGGGCTTAGGCTTTTGTATTCATGTTCTTGGTAGCAACGATGGCATTTCAGTGTTGATTGAATATTGCATGGACTCTAAGTTATTAATTGAAGAGGCTCTTAATGTTTTGTTGACAATTGCTACACTGATAATCTAAATAAATCTAAATAAGATATCTTACAAGAAAACGGACGGGTCTCCATCCTCTCCTCAGTGACTCAAATTTAGTTTTCTGTTTGGTGTACGAGTCTTCGCCAACCTCTTTTTTTATCATGAGTTAAAAACAATTAACGTTCTTGTGACAATTACAGATATCGAAGATAATTCACTCGAAGATATGTAATCGCAGCAAATGCTTATTGATACGATTCTAAAAGCAATATAACCCACCTTATGCCGCAGGGAGGCACGCCAATGTAAGTAGGTGCGAAATGTTTTCGATGTTAGTTTTATCAACTTAGTTATTAATAAAATCTTCCCTTCCTGAAGTAGCTATTCCAAAGCGATCATGGCCTGTGGAAGAAAATGTAAATTTAGGAAAAACGGAACGTAAAGAAATGCAACCGTCCCTTAATTAACATCGTAACACGGTCTTACAAATGGGATTGGCCTGTGCCGAAGCAGGCAGAATTATTGAGTTAATAAACTGACGTAGTTCAAAGATGCAACAGAGTTCCACATGAAATAATCAGAGCATCCATTGTCCCTCTTCGTCACGCCATCAGAAAACTCCAGTTTGTTTCACCAGGCCATTCTTTACTGGGGGTCATAGTCTGTGCTCAAATACTCATCTGGTGTCACTTATTACATTGGAATTGCTTTTCTTTAAAAATTAAAATGATTTCAGAACTTTTACAGTCGAGAAAGAGGCATGTTTTTGTTTGGAGATGAATTAAGAGTTAATTAGTGGCAAGTACATGGCTAATCTAGATCTTATTTAAGGGAGTAAGTTTCTAAAGAAACTGTGCTGCTGCGTCGGTGGGAGAGTATAGTAGGTAATTCAGTGCATGTTATCAACTGAGTTGAAAACGTAAATTGGCCACCGTAAAGAGTAAAAAAGCTTACGTTTCGAGCGTTAGCCCTTCGTCAATCGCTCTGACGAAGGGCTAACGCTCGAAACGTCAGCTTTTTAACTCTTTATGGTGGCCAATTTACGTTTTCAACTTAGTTGTTTACACTAAATTACCTACTAGAAGCTCGACCAAACGAAAAAAAAAGTCAGAACGAAGCAAAAATCTCAGGCTATCCTAAATTAAACGCTGAGTGTCGAAGAAGTAAAGTAAACTTATTTATGAATGATATTCGTTGCTCTGAGTTTGAAATAAAACTGTACTAATAATGTGAATTGACAATTGTAAAAATATTCCAAAGCTGCAGTTTTGAGCTCGCTTGTCATGCTAAAACAAAGTACGGAAAATAAAAAAAACTTTACCCTTTTTGTTCTTCGTTGAATATTTGACCGGAATTTTCTTTATTAGTTTAATGAATAACTTTTTCTCAAGACTTGGAATGATCTTTGCTCTGCTCTATGTTCTGGTATAAACAGCGACAACTTGAATAGCAGCGACCACTTAGATTTTCACCCAACAAATGATTTTTGCCAAAGGTGGTTAAATTACGGCCACAATTCGGCCAGAATGATCAGTTATGAGGGTTTAAGAACAGATTCAATGAATTTGAGCGAAACAATTCTGTGAGAGCCTTTGATGACCGAGGAAGAATGCCTAAACGTTTATAACAATGGACAGACATTATCCTGTGCGGGAGTCAAATATTCGCTACAAGAAGGTGCAATACTAATTGTTCAAGCGCAGTCTTTCTACTGGAATAAACTGCTTATTTTGATTCAATAACGCACAGATTGATTAATACTCTTCCTTGGCATATAAAATTCAGCGAGTATATTGTCATTTATCTTACCTTTTAAACCCGTTTATCGGGATAGACCCGTCATAGCTGATCAGTTCCTGTAGTATCCAGCCTCTGGATAGGCTTTTTGACCTCCTTCGAGATTCAGATTTGATCTATTTTTAAGCGAAACGTTTAAAAGATCTGCACTTCACCTTGTTGATGTAAAAAGAAAGCCCTTTTGTTTAGTAAAAATTCTTATCGGTCTGGAAATGACTTAATTTTGATTCACAAAACAATAACTGGTGATAACACTTTACAGTAAAAACATTTCCACGCTGCAGTGCTAACAAGAGTAAAACAATCAAACAACTGTATTCTTGTAAAATTGAACGAGACTTTTGAATCAACAAACAGCTTCCGACAGATCAAGATCTTACATATTTAGTATAGCTAGAACTTGTCCGGCTCGATCATTTTGGCCTCAGGAATTCTTGGCTCACTGAATGTACTATTTCACTTCATGTAACCTTCAATACAAGTGTTGCGTCTTGTAACCTAGCTTACAGGCCACCCTTAAACTCTAACATTAAGAAGGAATTCAAGTTACGCGAGCTGTAGTTATCAGCAGACAATCATGATAATTTGATTATTTCAGCTCCAATTTATCTGATCTGGTAATCGACTATTCAATGCATTTTCGATGGCTTAATACCGAGCGACCGCTTCACCTACACTGAGATCATATAGCTTTTTACTTATAATTATTTTGATCAAATTATCAGCATAAAAACGCACGTTTACGCTCGATATTTATTGTCAGAAAAGCATCCTTTTCTACACTGTTTAAAAAGCGAAAAAGTGGGAAAAGCAATGGCCACATGATTTGGTAGCATGCCCACTCTTAATCGAAAGATGCGCATTCAGCCACAGGTGTATGACTAGGCCGATGCGTGTGGTTTTCAAGGTGGAGACATTTGATGTTCACAGTGTTTCCCTTTACCCAGGAATATAGATGATCGAGTAGTAACTTTGTGATGTAAGGGAAATCTAACGAGTAACTGGAGGGGTAAATCAGTTATGAACTCTAGGCATCCCATCCGAAAGGAACAAAATCCTCCTAATCCGTTATTTCGTGCAAGATAATCCAGGTTAGTCTTCGGCAGGTGTGCGACTTGATAGCCCTAGTGTTCAGTCTTTCCCTAAATCATCCGTCTCTTGTATGTCTGTGGGCTTCATTATGTCGAAAATCGTGCCATGCCTAATGCACAGACCATACTATTTTAGCGCTCAGCCAGTTTTGTGAGTTTAAACCTCTTGGGAAATTTTTCCCTTAATGGCGTAATAATTACCTTTAGCTTAATCCGTTTAAGCGTAAACGTGACGGAAAACTTACCGTTTGCTTTGGTTTTGGCCAGTCTAAATTTAAAGAGAGTATTCTGAATGTAAAGTAATAAAAGTATCATTTCAGGGTTATTTCAGTACAACGTTGCTTTGACACCTTGTTCACATCCCACTTACGACGTCAGCGTCATCGATCATTCCAAACAATTTAACCTTTTGACGTTTTCTATTACATTCAGCTATTGGTTTTTTAATTTGCATAATCCGCATACACAAAAGTACAGAGTTAAGTACAAGATCTGTATGTCTTATGGTGACTAGCTCCACTGTGGACAATCATTCGTGTTCCTTCTCTGTGCGTGTTGAGAGATCGCATACTAAAGTTGCGCAAAATTTGTGAAATTTTACGTGAAAATAACAGTAACTAAGGAAATTTTGGTTGAAATCTTTTGTGAATGTAAGACGCGAAAAGTCTTAGCTTTGAGGTGCTGAAATTGCCGATATGAAATCAAAGGAGTTCAAACAACTTTTGGAAGTGATGTTTCTTGTTTCCATTGGCCTGACACATTATAAGGCCATGGCAGAGAGAGGTA